TTTTTAATTTAAGATTTATATTTGAGACCCTAACAGTCATTAAGGATAATTGAATATCTCCATAATTTCATCAATAATTAATCAATAATAGTATTTATTTGTATTAACAATCACTCAACACGTCTATTTTGAAGTAGTAATTAGGCATTAGTGTGAGCTTTTATTATTTTTTTACTTTAAATTATACAATAAAAAATAATTTTTTATTTTCCTTAATTCACTTCATTTATATATCATATAATTTGAATTTATAATTATTTTTAATAAAAAAATTATCATTAAATTATTTTATCATTAAATTACTTAAATTAAGATTACAAACTTAGTGCATTTGAACAGAAGAACTAAATTTTAATAATTGGACATCGGATAAATTTTGTAACAGCCTAGGATTGGGTTACAGATGAGCAAGAAAAAAAAATCGTTAAGACTCGTAATTGTTTTTTCTTTTTGCAAGGATGAAGATGAAGACTTGTTCTCATAAAAAATGGAGACATAAAATTATTCATTCAATGGAAGTTAGAGTATGTAAGTGGGTTTTGACCATTGAATTTTTTCTTTTTTTAATTCTATAATCAAACGGAATTTTATTATGAACATGTTAGAGACTTCCAGTATGACCAGCTGGGCGGAGGGAAAAAAACAAAACAAAGAGAGATTTGATTGGTTAGAACTTAGAAAGGAAAATACGAAAACTTGAAAGAACACAAGAAGACAAAAGAGTTATCTAGTAATGTAGCAATTAACAATAAGGCCACAAGATCAAGAAAAACCATGGTTAGCCCCTAAATTTGTAAATTTTGTCTTTGGTTTGGAACTTTGGTCCATACAATTTATTATAAAGAAATCTTTGAGTGTTTCGTAATCATTTAATTAAAGTATATTTTAATTTAAATTATATTAAATTATAAAATAATAATAAATAAGATCAAAATTTAAAATTAATAATATTATATAAGTCACGTAATTTAAAATATAAAAAAATAAATTTTATATTATTTAATAATTAATTATTTTTATTTTTTTAATGTGATATTATATATAAAAATTAATTTAATAACATGACTATTACATGATTGATTTCGAATTTTCACTTTCTTTATCATTACTTTAAATTATATAAGAAAAAACCACTAAATTTCATGAAAAGCTTATGTTTAGGAGATCTTTTCCAATCTTATAACTAATTTTGTAGAGACTGGGTGGAGGTCGGAAGGCACAAGACATGATAATCATGTGACCATATGTTGGGGGTACGGGAAAGGGGGCGAAATGAAGAAGAAGTTGCAGTCGTAATTGTCGTAGGAAATTTCAAAAGAAGGAAGAGACAGAGTGAAAATGGAGGTGGTGGTGTGGGCCCCACTTTCCACGCGGAAATTTATGTCATCTTCTTTCTTCTTTCTTCTTTTTTCTTCTTCCTCTTTTTAATCAAAGTCATAAAATAAACTATTATGAAAGAAAATTCCAACTGAAATGCCGCGTAGACGAAGCAGAACCCCGTCTTCTTCACTCTTACCATCTTCTTCCGTTTCTTGCTCCTTCCTCTCCTTCCTTATCCTTTCACTCTTCGTCTGATTCATTATACCCCTTTAAAACCCTCGTGTCAAACTCCTTCCCTTTTTTTATTGGTGTTCACGACATGAATAAACATTCATCACTTCCTAGTTCCTCGCGCCCTGCTAAAGGGCCAAGCTTTCTTACCAAGATCAAGGTAACCCCATTTCTTATACTTGAATTTCTTTAAGTTTAGCACTTTGGATCATCCTCATATGTCTGATTATGGACAAACTTTGATGGGGTTTTGGAAAGACATGAACTTGAATTGGAGAATTGAGAATTCATACCTACCCTTTGTATGCTTTGTCTTCGTGTTCCTGATTGCATTTAAATTGCTTTGCTGACCCTAGAAATAAACATATGTGGTTTTGGATTTCAGAACGTTACTTGCCTTAAGTCATCATCGTCAAGAAATGGGAAAGGGGGAAAAGGGAGGAGTAAGTCATCCAGTAACAAAGTTTCCCATGGGTTTCACTTAGTAGAAGGTCAGTCAGGACATGACATGGAAGATTACCATGTTGCGGAGTACAGAAAAAGAAGGAACAATGTTCTTGGATTATTTGCAATCTTTGATGGTCACTTGGGGGATCGAGTGCCCAGTTATTTGCAAGATAATCTTTTTAACAACATACTTGAAGAGGTATCCTGTCGCTATCAGTTTATTCTTCTCCTTTCTGCTCATTCTCATGTCAGCAATCATTCTATGGTCATAAATTGTCAAGATATGTCACTTCTTGCTTATTGATAATTTGGTCATACTCCTTCCTTTGGCAAGTGCTTCCATGAATTCGTATCATGCATATTTCAATTTAGTGCATCTTATGTCTAATTGTTTTCTCTATACCTACTTGACATAGCCCAACTTCTGGAAAGAACCTGAGATCGCAATAAGGAATGCATACCGTTCCACAGATAAGTTTATATTAGAGAATGCCATGCAATTGGGGCCTGGTGGCTCTACGGCAGTAACAGCAATTGTCATTGATGGAAAGGATTTATGGGTAGCAAATCTTGGTGATTCCAGAGCAGTGGTGTGCGAGAGGGGTAGTGCCAATCAAATTACAGTGGACCATGAGCCACATACTGAACGGAGAAGAATAGAGAAGCAGGGCGGCTTTGTAACAAATCTTCCTGGTAAATAATTTTTTTTGTTTTTTTTTTGTAGTTACAATTCAATTACTTTCTTCATTCTTTTCCTTGGGAATGATATCAGATATAATGTCCTTGGTGGGATTGATCTGTTTGATTTCCAGGCTGTGTTATGTTTATGATGTGATTCTTATGGAACAAATGATGCTCCAATGCTAAAACTTTGTTCCTTCTTCAGGAGATGTACCTAGGGTTAATGGCCAACTTGCGGTCGCCCGGGCTTTTGGGGATCAGAATCTTAAAGCACATTTAAGCTCAGAGCCTGATGTGAGATATGTGCCCATAGACTCAACTATTGAGTTTGTAATTTTAGCCAGCGATGGATTATGGAAGGTCAGTGGTCTTGAAACTCATGGTTGGAGCTGCTCTTCACCTTTCTCTCCTTTGATATTTTCCCTTGATCACTTAGTAACACATCCTGTTTTGGATCACATAGGCTTAGGAGATACATGTGTTTAAGTTCTCTATAGAACTTTGAGAACTGAGTTAACGATACCTTACAATGCATGATACAAGGTCCCTGTCCTCTTTTGACTTTTGAAATATAAAAGGCAGAAAGAACATGAAGAGAACAAATTATTATTAAGGGGGCACCTTTAGTTGTAATATTTACAACAAAGCAACAAATCAAGATGAACTATTAACCTGAGTCCCAAAACCTGGCGCCTAAAGACCTATCAAAAGAATCTCTGAAAGTTAGCCTTTGTGGAGGAATAGAACCATTTTCAGCAAGATGTCTCACTTTATCCAAAGTCTTAATTTTCCCATGAGTTTCAAACAAATAGGTGACTGCTTTCATTCTTGGGTGTCTGTGAAGCTTTTATTTTCCTTAGGGGACCAAAATTGATATTGGAAAAATCTTTACCTTGTTGGCATCATGTATTTATCAGTTCAGTAGGATATTAGATTACTTTTTACCTAAGATGAACTTTGTGAATCCTTTTCACTCTGCAAGTAAATCTGGTGGGAAGGTTGCTGTACATTGTACACGTGTGAAAATAGAGAAGTTAGGATTGAGTTTGGGTCGACATATAGATGTATAACAGACCTTGGATTGCTAAAACAATTCACCGTTTGAGAATACCATATATGTGGCAGCTCTTTTATAAAACATGCTCGAGTAATTTTGATGCACATAATCATCAATCTATTACCCTTGACAATATGAAGCAACAGTTAGAATCATGGGTATGAATAGCAAGTCTGATAAGTTTGTTCCTTCTCAAGAGAACCTCCCTTCTTAAATATACCATTGATGTTCTTCTAGTAAAGTGTGGGAGTATCCGTGAGCATTTCAAGCATTTTGCAAGGGTCCAAAAGGACCTTGCTGTCCGATTATTAGTTATCAACTTATAAATTGGTAGCACAAGGTCATTCTATTTCTTGAGTCATTTCTATTTATCGTCTAGAGATTGATGCATCATACACATTAGGAACTAATGTCAAGATTGGTATGTGTTTTTTTAGTTCAGTGTTTTAACTAGTACGATCTGCTTGGCAGGTTATGCAGAATCAAGAGGCAGTTAATTTAGTGAAACCAATAAAGGATCCTCAAGCAGCAGCTAAGCGTTTAACGATGGAAGCATTGGCGAGAAAGAGCAAAGACGACATATCATGCATTGTGATCCGTTTCGGATGAAGCTATCAAAACCATTAGTTGTTTTCTTATGGTTGGTTCAATTTGTATGTGTAAATAGGGAAACTATTACACTCCCAGAGCTTCTTGTGTTGCAGTAGCTCTGTTTATAGAGATAGTCAAAACAGCAGTGTGATGCATTTTTTGTCATGTCCATATATGCTCGGTGTGAAGGTGGATAATTATTTGGTGTTAGTAGGTAGAGTAGTGATTTAAAATTGAGTACAAATTGATTTAGTAGTGGATTCAATAAGATACACCATATGATATAAATAGTTGCATATATATATATATATATATATATGGCATGTGATGCTCACCATGCTCGTCTTCCTTGAGTTTCTTCAAAGATTCGAATTTCGAAGTTAAAAGGTTTCTGACTGATCCACTAGAAACCATTGTTGCTGTCTGACTGCCGTTTTGTATCTGGAGGGCAGAATAGTTACTGTAAGAGACCCAATTGAAACCGAAAACCATTTATTGCTACACAAAATGATCCTTTTGAAGAAATAAAAGTGAAAATATTGCTCAACAAAAACAGTACACAATGTGGAAATAGAAATGTAGACTTAGCATTGAGAATAATTAATCTTAGTCACTACTACCGCGATCTCTATCAACGACTACAGGGCCTTACTCAAGGGTCCAGAAGCGTTGAGGATTATCACAAGGAGATGGAAATCGCAATGGTTAGAGCGAATGTCGAAGAATTTGGTCACGTTAGATCTCATGAAGGAAAAACACTCTAATACCTGTTTTTTCATTAACATCGTTAACAATACTCGAACTTGATTAAATTTAAAATTTTGCTTAAAAAAATGAATTTTTTTTATTCAGACCAATAAATGTTGGTATTGGAAGCGATTATAGTTACCAAGTATTTTTTTTTTTTTTGAATGAGTTTACATTTGAGAAAAGCAATTCGGTTCCTAATCTTAACTTTTACATCTTTCAACTCAATTTATAATCGTTGAACCGTGAGATCCAAGCTCAATTATCTAATATTTTGTTGACCTTACTCAATCATTTAATTTAAATATTAAAAATAATTAATAAAATAATTGATATTTATTGTTTAATAAAATAAAATAAATTTATGAATTAATATTTTAAAAATATTATAATTAATTATTTAAAAAATTATAAATAAATAAAATATCTACCTAATTAAATAATATTTATATAATATTAACAAAAATAATAAATGGATACAATCACGCCCTAAAAAGGAGAGGCCTCCAATTCGTGGTGGACTTTCCCTCAAAACACAACGTGGAGACTGGTGACCGACTGATCTAGTGGAGGTGGAGGTAGTGCGTCATAATAACGTACGGATGGTGATTTTGCTGCCCTGGTGGTGAAGGTGGAGTTAGAGTATTGTTGTAGGGTCAACGAATCATTATGGTTATTTGATTTTAGGCAAAACCATAAGTTAAGCCCCTGAACTAAGCCCAGAATCGCTATTAAGCCCCTAGACTTTAATTGATGCAGTTAAGCCCTTGAACTCCGGGATCAAAGCAATTAAGCCCTTCTTCTTAAGCAATTTATTTTAAAGATTAAAGTCTAGGGGCTTAATAGCATAAGAAGAAGGGCTTAATTGCTTTGATCCCAGAGTTTAAGGGCTTAACTGCATCAATTAAAGTCTAGGGGCTTAATATCGATTCTGGGATTAGTTCAGGGGCTTAACTTATGGTTTTGCCTTGATTTTATCAAAATGTATTGTAAATTTGTAACGCAAAACCTGGCTGGAATTCCTGGACGTTATTTATTATTTTTTTTTACTAAACCCTTAGCATTTTGAAATCTACTTCTCATTAATTTAAAGTTAAGATAAATCAAATTTTAAAAAGATTAAACTTTTTCAATGTCTCTTATTTTTATTTACAAATCTTAAACTTAAGGTTTAAATGATAATAACCAACGATGATAATGTTTGCTACATTGGTGGGGAAGGTGAAGTTAGAGGACTGTTGTAGGTTATTTGATTTTATCAAACTGCATAGCAACGCAAAACCTAGCTGCAATTCTGGAATGTTATTTATTTATTTTTTTACTAAACTTCTAGTATTTAGAGATTATATTACCCTCAATTAATTTAAAATTAAATCAAATCACATATCATAAAATATAAGTTCTTCTAATATTTTCTCTTTTTATTCATTAGTCTTAAATTTAAAATTTTATTTAAGAAATATCAATTTTTTTTTTATCTAAATTAAAAAGTCGTTGGTTTTAGAATGTTAATAACTAGTGAAAACTTTGCGGGACAATTGTAGAATGATGTTTATGAGCTTTCCAATTCTGTATGATGTTTACGACCTTTCCAATTTTTGAAAGAACACATAAGAAACCGCGTATTGATTTGGAAAATGCATGAGTCACCATAGGCACAGTTTATGTACTGTGGTACCGTCAACTACTCAATGTGCTTCACATTGTTTTTCAACATCTCAATTTGTCAACATAATTCAATCAATCATTGATTTGGAATAACGAGTTGGAGGCTCGGATTGGTTCCCAAAAAAATATACACTTTCGATTTTTCAAATCCACGAATTACATTATATTTTACAAGCTCTGCCTGCACTCCAACGTTGATAAAATCCCCCCCAAAGAAAAAAGAAAGAAATGCAATTCACCTTTGATTATGTTTGCATCTAAAAATGCCGCTGACTGCACTTAAACAAACAGTTTTTCTTTTAAAAAAATAAATAAATGGCTCTCTTCTTGAGCTTGCAGGACATCCAATGACGTATCCTATATCAGAGGTACATGCTGGGAACGTGAAAAGACAAGTGTTCCTACACCTTAAGAAACTTCCAAGACTTTACCCCTCGGCAAGAAACAATCCTTCCTAAACATAAGCATCCGGCGGTGCTTCTTCTGGAATCTGAGATAAAAAAGGGTTATTCAACTCCCAGCCAAGGTTCAAAATGCATACCATTAGCTGAAAAATATATTATTCACCTTTCAAGTCAATGCTTGAGTTTTAGTTTGCTTTCTTTAGTAATGGGGTTTCTAGCATGTGCATATGCCGTTAAGGACTTTTCCTTGTCCTTTGAATTTAGTAAAAAAAATTAACTTATAAGCATCATTTGTTTACACCAGGATTAACAACAAAAGCAATTTGGTGGGATGCAAAACATGAAACACTAAATTAAGTGCTAAATCAGAAAGAAATTTGCTCCAAATATAATATATCCTCAGAGCTTAAGAAACCCTCAATAGTTTACTGTCTTAAATAAAGGCAGCATAAATTATGTCCTTTACCTCTCCAGGAATCCATTTCTCCTTCAACCAAATGCTTGCATCTCCTGAAACAGTCTCCTGTGTGTTATTTCTGTTGGATTTGGAAAAGAAAATAAAGGAGTCATTCACATGAAAATATTTGAAACACATTGTGTATTCCAGTAATTCGTATACTCAAGCTACTAAAATCTCTCAAACAGATGCTTTTTTCTTTTTCTTTTATGTTCTTTTCCATTGGCTCAGAAATGTATAATAGCCGTACCATCAACTTACCCCAGCTGAATGTTTGTAGCGGCCTGTCCATGTCCATCTGCTTTGGAAGAAGTTGGAAAACTCAAGGGAGCAGGGGTCTGGTTATTAGAGAAACTACTGGTGTTTTGTGCTGGTACTGCTGAACCAAAAAATTGGCTACTCATACTACTGACACTATTGTTGCCAATGCTGGCCATGTTTGAAATAAAAGAAGTCGCCACTGACTGATTAGGTTGGCCACTACCAAACAAACCTACCACATTAAGAATAACGTTAGAAGCCCATGGATAAATACGTGCAAATGAATTGAGTAAATAACAAAACCTGTAAGGTAATACCAGCATTTGCTGATGGGAAATTAACTGTCCCAAATCCACTTGTGGTTTGAGCAGAACTAGGGAAGGAATTCTGCTGCCCTACAGTTGGAAAATTAACAGTCCCAAATCCACTTGTGGCTTGAGCAGAAATAGGGAAGGAATTCTGCTGCCCAAAGGCATTGTTAGAAGGTGCAGATGGCCTGAGAAAAGATGGATTGTCAGCATTTGCTTGGGAAGAGTATAAAATTAATGCAAACCTTCAGCAAAATATCCAAAACTGGAGAAACTTCAATAAGATGACTAAACAAAAATTCCAAATTCTACAACTGACGCTTGCCTTGCTGCAAACCCCGTGTTAAATGATGTACCCAGCTGACTAAAACTGGAGACTGAAGGTGGGGGACTATTTTGAGCAGTTGGATGAAGTGTATTTGGAGAGACCCCAGGAGATGGGCTTTGTTTGGCAAAACCAGAGCCTGAAGGCCCTGTGTAAGGATTACGAAGAAGGTTTTCAAACTCAATTAACTTAGAATTGAGTAAGTTTCTCTCTCTCTCAACCTGCAGCATGATATATTTAATCAGTGACTTGCTAAACATGTACTTTCTTATTCACTAATACCATTGTGCAATATTATATCAACACCTCAAGGATTTCTATAAAATAGAGAGTGATGAAGATAAAAAAAGGAATTCTTTATGGA